TCTTGAAAAAACATATAAAAAACCGACACTGGACTTCACAGACACATTAAATAAAGTAATTAAATAAAAAATCAATATTTTAACATATAAGGAAATGAGATCTCTCCATTGTAGTGGTATTTATAAATTGACCATAGCTCCGATGATGGCTTTGTAAAGCCGAAAGCGCTCAGCTAGGAATTATTAAAAATATACACACTTCAAAAATACTTTTTTGCCTTTTCTTTTGACTCAAAGACTTCTATTCGCCTCATACTTGTAATTCCGAGAGTCCTTGTTTCCCCTCCATATAGCAATATGGAATAAATAAACGTTTTTACAAATTGGTATCGGATATCCAACGATAACGTAGACTTTATTAGGAATTTTTTCATTCGTTGAAATGCGGACCTAGCATATTCTATACTAGCACGTATCTCTACCTCCTGGTCAAGATCGTTTGTTATCCAGGTACAAGGATTCCAGGTACCTGGAATCTTTGTACCGGTTCTATATGTTTTGTTATAGATACGAATAGGTTTTATCTTCTCTCTGTATTTGATTTTCTTTAGTTTAATTAAAACTTTATCAACAACAGGATTGTGGTGGGAACCGATGTCTGCCCCGGGATATGTTTTAACTCTCCTGATTCCATTTCTATAACGTTTGTCAATTAATATATAATCAATCTGATTTCTTATTATGTGGCTTTGATTATCGCCAGGTGCTTTCCATGTATATAATCTTCTTTTGGGTTGTTTAAACCAGGTGTTTGCGATAATTATATTTTCTTCTTGGCAAAATTGGACCAGTTTTTTCTCCTCTATCATTTCTTTTGTCCAAATCAAAGTTTCTTACTACATCTTCGGTCGCCTTTCACCTACTTTGGCATTAAAATCTCCCATAATAATGTTTAAGGCATTTTTCTTTGTGATCTTCATTAGCTGTTTGATCTCTTGGTAGAATTCTCGTACTTCTCTTTCTGGTTTTTCTGCTGTAGGAGCATATACTTGAATAAAATTAATATTACGAGGAGTGGTATTAATTGCAGAATAGCTACTTTATCAGATATTTTTTAAATAGTTTTCTAAATATATCTTCTGTGGACATCAAAACACTGAATATTTGTCTGTCTAGCTATGTTGTCCCCTTCAGACCTTTTTTTGGGCCCTTGTCCGATATCTTACGTTTATAATGCTCAGATCGTCTTTCAAATCATCCAACCATCTTGTGCATCTTTCTTTTTTTTTTTCGTCTTCCGCTGTAACATTTTCTTTATTGCTTTTGTATCTTCTCATCTTTATACACACTTATACTTTCACAAATATTACAATATCGTACCTTTTATTTCATACATCTTCTTCTTCTTCCTGTTAGTATGTATGTATGTAGAGCGTTAACAGGCCTTTTAGGCCATTGCTGGATGGATAATTTCCATCGTTTTCTATTCTTAGCTAACCGCTTCCAATCTCTGATTCCATCTCTCTGACATCTTCCATCACTACATCTCTCCATTTCTTTCTTGGTCTTCCTCTTTTTTTGCCCTCAGGTACTCTCCAAGCAATATTTTTGACTAGTCTATCACCTTGCATTCTTTCTAGATGACTGAGCCATTCTAGTCTACGTTTTTTTACCACTCTTGTTATTATAGGGTTAGCTACAAATGATACACTTCTGCATTAGTTCGTTCTTCTCATTCTCCTTGTACTAGTTTTCCACCAAATATTCTGCGAAGAATCTTTCTTTCCCATGCTTCCAATGTATTCTGTATGGTTTTGTTCATAGTCCATGTCTCGGCAGCGTATAGCATTGTGGGTCTAATTATAGTTTTTATATACTCTTATTTTTGTATTACGAGATATATCTTTGGCCTTAATTATTTTGCTCATGGCTCCAGCACACCTGTTGCTCTTGGTCAGTCTCAGGTTGATTTCAGCTTCTTCCTTACATGTCTGATCAATAAGAGTACCTAAGTACATATATTCATCCACCTTCTCGAATTCTACAACTGATCCATCCTCCACCTCCAATTTAAAGGATTCCTGGTGTTTATTCCTTTTTGCTCGAGATCTCCATGTATTTCGATTTATTAATATTAATTTTCAGTCCCAGTTTAGAGCTTTTCCGAATCAATCTTTTTGTTATATTTGATAGCTCTTTTCCATTTCTTGTAATAAGAACCACGTCATCACCGTATGCTAAGCATTGGTGCTCCTTGTATAAAATAGTTCCGGACCTATTTATCCCACTATCCCTTACAATTTTTTTCTAGAACTATATTACATAGCAATGTAGACAACGAGTCTCCTCGGCGAACACCTTTTTTCACTTCAAATTCTTCTGAGATTGTACCGTTGCATCTCACAGCATAAATGGTTTGTCTAATTGTCATTTTTTACCAATCTTATTATTTTTTCTGACACTTGAATTCTTTTACTGTTTCTATTAACTTGTTTCTGTCTATTGTATTGTAGGCAGCTTTGTAATCAATGAAAAGTACTTGTGCTGAGATGTTGTATTCATAGCAATTGATCAGGATTTGTTTTTAGCATAAAAATTTGATCGGTTGTTGATCTTCCTTTCCGAATCCTCCCTGGTATTCTCCTAGATTCTTCTCTCTCTCTCTCTCTCTCTTCTCTCTCTCTCTCTCTCTATATATATTATATTATATATATATATTATATATTATATATATATATATTTCTAATCGTTTTTTAATTAGTATGGCGAGTACTTTCTTCTAATAATTAATTACTTCTAATAAAGATATTCCTCTATAGTTTGCGCAATCAGTTCTATCTCCCTTTTTGTGTATAGGAATTTTAATCGACTTATTCCATTCTTGAGGCATTTCTTCGGCATCCCATACTTCTAGTATTAGCTCGCCAAGTTTGTTTATTAAGGTCTCTCCTCCATATTTTATGTTCTCTGCCACAATGCCGCTCTCCCCGGGGCTTTTGATTTTTCATATCTTTTTATTATTTCTTCAATTTCTTCTCTTGTGGGCCTTGGTATTTCTTCTATTACTATTTGAGGTTTAGGAACATAACAATTTTCTTCAGTAGTCACTTCTTCATTTAACATCTCTTCGAATTATTCTTTCCACCTTTCACATATTTGGTCTTCGTCCACTATCAGGTGTCCTTGCTTATCTTTTACATTTATCGTTCTTCCCTGGTACCCAGTTTTAATGTATTTTACTTCTTTATAAAAAATTTTTATTTAATTTTTCTTGTAATTTTTTTCAATGCGCTTAATTTTATCATCCGTTATACTTTCGTTTGCGCTCCCTTAGGATTCTCTTTACTTTTTTTCGTTGTTCGGCATACCTTTCTAGGTCGTCTTGTTTTTGCGATCGTAAACTTTTTAATCTCAAATCTGATCTCTTTTTTAACTCTGTTCTGCATTCTTCATTGAACCAGTGGTTTTTTCTAAATCTTTTTGTTCTTGGTATGTTCTTCAACGTTGCTTCCTTTATAGGGTTTGTCATTTTCAAGAACTTTGTTGTATGTTACTCACAGTAGTACTATCTTGTTTCGCGTAGGTTTCTTGTATATCCTTTGATAACCTGCGCTACCTCAAATTTTCGCAGTTTTTCAAAGTTAAATTTACGTTGCACTTTCTTTTTCCGTTTATGCTTTTTATTTATTGCTTCTCTCATATTAATTTTAACCAAAAAATGATCTGAGTCTACGTCAGCCCCTCTGCACGTTTTCACATTTGTTATTAAATTGGCAAATTTCTCTTGTATTAAGATGTGGTCTATTTGATTAGTTCTATTTCATCCCGGAATTTTCCACGTTCCTTTATATATATATATTTTTTCCTAAAATGGGTACCTACTTATTATCTTCATCCTGTTTTCAATTGCGAATGTTATTAATCTTTGTCTGTTATCATTTGTATTTAAATGTTTACTTTCACCCCTGTTATGGTTTTATATATATCTTGTCTTCCGATCTTTGCATTGGCGTCGCCTATAATAATTTTAGTATCTTGTTTGGGCATTTCTTCACACAATGACTCTAATTCTTCGTAAAATTTCGTCTTTCACTTCTTCGTCTTTTTCTTCTGTTGGAGCATGTATATTTATCAACGATATCATATTCTTTTTTCCCTTAATTCTAATTGCACACATTCTGTCAGATTTTACTATAAATCGTTTTACTTGCTCCACGTCTTCATGTACCAGAAAACCCACTCCAAAATTCCTATTATCGACTCCACTTGTGTAAAACGTGTATGGGCTAATCTTTTTAATGTCGTTTCCAGTTAATGTGTTTCCTGTATTGCTAAGATGTGTATTTTATATTTTTTTAGTTCTCCTACTAGGTTAATTAATGCTCCTCCTCGTATACTCCTCGTACATTCCATGTAGCAATATTTAGGTACTTATTTTAACTCTTATTTTTTATTTTGCTATTTATGTTCAAACTCATTTTTCTGTTCATCGCTAGGGTCCGTTGGCATAATGGGCCATCTTTTCCTTTTTCCAGTACTATATGTCGTTTTTTGGGTCCATATTACTAGAATTTTCTTGTTTAAAAGTACCATTTCCGGCCCATACTCATTTTTATGCCATCCACAGTTAATTTTTTGTACCCTATCTTCACATTTCTACCTTCAGCTCAATTCCTTGCCTTTATTTACGATTTCCTGCCTCATGTGTCTTTCTTTTTTCGGTCAGGTCATCGTTGATGAAGATCTTTTCTCAGTAAGAAAATCTGAGTTTGTTTTTTTCTTTCATTACCTTAATTTTTTCGCCATAATCCTTCTTTCGCCATGTTCCTGTTAGTATGTGGGCTTTAAAGAATATTTCTTCTTCAATATTAGCCTCCTAAATTGTTTAAATTGTCACACCATCTTTTTCTTGGTCTGCCAATACTTCTTGGTCCATTTGGTGACTTATCTCATGCTATTCGTACTATCCTATCCTCTGCTATTCTACTGATGTGTTCGTTCCACTCCTGTTTTCGATTTGTCCACCCATCCATTTATGTCTTCTATATTGCATGCTCTTCTTATGTTTTTGCTTCTCTCCCTATACAACAAACTTCTTCCTGATATTCGTCGAGTATTTTCATCTCTGTTGTTTCTAGCAGTCGTTTCGTTTTAGATGTGTCAGGTCTTGTCTCCGCCGTGTATGTTAATATAGGTCTAATTGCTGCTTTATAGATTCTTGTTTTTGTGTTTTGTCTTATTTGTTTGTTCTTCCAAATTGTGTCATGAATAAAACCTGCCGCTTGACCTGCTTTTAAGCTTTGTTGTCGTACTTCTTCTTTAATATCTCCGTAACTAGTTATATCTATTCCCAGATATCTAAACATTGCTTCCTGCTTTAATATTTTCCCATCAATTTGGATTTTACACCGTAGTGGGTATTTAGATGTTGTCATACATTTGGTTTTTTTCTGCTGATAAGGGGTGTCTCAGAGTAGATTTTAGTATTTAAACTTACCTTACGCCGACCCTGTTCGAAATTCCATGTAAACGATTTGTCAGCCATGTAGCCTACACGTGCGAATTTCAGTTACCATGGAACAGTGGACGAAAACGCAGCGTGCCTAAATGGTTAAGGCGTATTTTTAAAGCCAACGATTCCTATACAGTTGCTCGACGGCGTTTTTGTGTACGGTACAATATTAGACGCGAGGGTGATGCACCAGCCGCGATACTAGTGCACGCATGGGAAAAGAAATTTAGGGAAGAAGAAGTTGTTTACAAATGTGAAACATCCAGGCAAACCAAAAACTATTCGAACTTCTGTCAATGTTGCAAGAGTTCGACGTGCTCGCAAACATGCACAAGCACTAAATTTGTCTCGTGCTAGTATCCAGTGTATTTTAAAGAAGGATTAATCCAGGCAATACATGGTTCTAGCAAGACGGTGCTACACCACACAGCGAGGCACTTCAATAAACGCCCTAACAGAAATGTTTCCAGGCACACTGATTTCACAAAATTGTGATATTCGTTTTCCCCCAAGGTCCCCTGACCTAACTCCTTAAATTTTTTTTCTGTGGGGGTATTTAAAGCAAATCATCTACGCTAATCCACCAGCCACAATCAAAGAGCCGAAGCAAAATATTCGTAATGCTAACAACATTCCAGTGAATATGTGTGAGAGCGTCTTTTGTAATTTGCGATCCAGATTGTAAGAGTGCTACGAGCGAGATGGTCAACATCTAACCGACGTGTTTATTTAAGAAATAAAATCCGCATGTTCTGTGTGTCTATTTTCGTAATAAATGTTTTTCTAACAGGTTCTGAAACAGAGTTTTATTGATTTAAAAACTAAAATCTACTCTGACACACCCTTTATTATCATATTGTATTTCTTAACTGTTGTATTGAAGATATGTGTTAATCTTTGGAGCTCGTCTACTGTCTATAGAAGCTTCGCTTCTAAAATATTTTGAAATAAAAAAGATTAAGTTTTACATTTTTTATGGTAAAACATAAAAAAGCTCATTTATTGACAAAATACTACATTAAATTAAAAACTAAGTTCTAAAGTTCCATTTCCCTCTCTTAATGCTTTGACTATATCAATTTCATGAAGAGGTGTTCCACCTGCGGTTTTCGTAAACATTGTTTTCTTGATTTGCAGTTCACCTAAAAATAATGAAGATTAATAAAAAATTAGGTATCTTTTTACGTTTTGATTGAATAAATAAATAAATCTTTGATTTAAAAGTATTTCACTACAGCAAGTGTCATTTTAAAAAATAATTTGGTTGTAGGGAGCACTAAAAGGCTCTCTCTTCAGTCCTGGCCGCCAGGTGGACAAAAATCTCCGTCTCTAGTTATTCCTTTTAACTCATGCATAGGTATTTTGCATTTTTTTGTAATTTAATCGACCCATCTTGTTGGGTGATCTTCTCTCCCACTAGAGGGCTAGAAGGCAAGAATAAGCGGTCCTTTCCATGTAGACACAAAAAATATCGTTGTCTGTGTGCATTTATGTTGTTTTATTTCATCAAATCTCCCTGTAAGGTTTGCTTTGATATACATTGATTAATTGACTTTGTTGTTATATTAAAGTTATTCTAATCTAGTTTTTAAATATATATCTTTTGGTCTTCTTCTTGTTCCTCTTTATAAGCAATTCTGCTTGTTCATTGGCGGATTGATACCTCTATGGAAGGTTGTAGCTCAATCTTTTGCGCGGTCGTCCGATACTTCTTCTGCCGATTGGTGACTAATTTCTTGCTATTTTGATGACACAAGTTTCCTCCATTCTGCTTATGTTGTTATTCAATTCTATTTTTCTATTTTATGTCCATTCATTTATACTCTCTACGTTACATTTTCTTCTAATTTGTTCACTTCCCTTTCCATCTCTCAGCTAATTTCCTGTAATTCTTATCAGTACTCTCATTTCTGCAGCATCCAGTAGCCTTTGCATTGTGGCTGTATCGGGTCTTGTTTCTGAGGCATATGCCCTAATTGGTCTTACACTGGCTTTATAAATTCTTAACTTCATCTCACTGTTAATATTTCTGTTTCGCCATATAGTGTTATTATGGCATCCTGCCAGTCTATCTGCTTTTTGTACTTGATCTCTCACTTCTTTGTCCTGGTCTCCATAGCTAGACACTGTAATTACCAGGTATTTTATTTCCATTACTTTTTCAATACTGATGCCATCAATTTCTATTTTACATCTGATTGGTTCTTCGCGGACAACTATTGTTTTAGTTTTCTGAGATGAGATTGTCATATTAAATTATTTTGCTTTTATGTTAAATCTGGGGACCAGTCTTTGCAGACTATCTTTATCTTGGACTATCCATATATCTACGTAAAAAAGTATTTTTATTTCTTTGTTTCCCATTCTGTCAAATTGAAGAGCATGGGGCACAACGAATCCCCTTGCCTTATTCCGCTGCCTACTTTTATAGGTTCTGTAAGGTGTCCATCTATTCTGACTTTTGTTGACCATTTTGTTGTTGTGGTAGATGTTTTCGATACTTTTAATAATATCTCTTTATAGTCCACTATAAAGACGAGAAAATAAGATTTTTAACTTATACGAGTGGTTGTTTAAACCCGTTTTGGTGACGTGGAATCTTCCTATTTGATTCCTCAATTTATGTTAACGATTCTTAAAAATAAAGCAAAACTTACCTGTTTCTGTAGAAAGTAGTTCATGTACTACAACTCTAGTGAAAAATACGATGATGCTTTGATCAGGTACTCCGCTTATTGTCCTGTAAGAGAGAAATAATTTCTATATATTTGAAAACTTTTAATCTTAATGTAACATCGTATCAAGTACTGGGTGCACTTTGTGGTCTGTGTGGTACCTTGGGTAACCAAAACTAAAGACACTTAATTACTTTACTAAACTGTGAGTACATATAAATAAACAAGATGCAAGAAATAAAAAAGAAAATTAAGAGAGCTATAAAAATGATAGAATGAGAAATCTAGTCGAAAGGAATTACTTTTTAGAGACTTGTCGATGCTTTGTTCAAAACTGGTTTTGGACAAAGATTGCATAGTAAGAAAAAAAATATGAACCCAGAAAAAGTAAACTTAAAAATATTTTAATCTAGACACAGAGTATTTTCTGATATTCTTTGAAAACAGAGAAAACTAAAAAAAACGAGGAAAAGCGTAAGAAAAAGAACAAGGGACATAAATCTGAAATAAAAGCTAGAAGAAAGATTGAAGAGAAACAAAGAAAGAAACAGAAAGAGACTAATATGTTATTAGCTGAGAAAATTTGGGAGCAGTAGTCAAGGACGAATAGCGCACAAAAAGAATTAAAGCAGGATAGCGAAATGATCTTATGATTAGCAGAATCGCACAATATGGCAACGGCTTGATGAAAGAACACCTACTGCCATGGCATGATAAAATTAGATAAAATCTACAAGTTAAATATAATGAAATTTAAGTTGTATTATGATGATATTGAAAAGTATAGTCTGGCTGGTTTAGAAGATAATAAAAGCACAAGAAAACTCACTTTATCAGCATCTTTTCAGATTCTGGAACCCATTCGGCTTCACTATAATAGTAGTTCTTCTTTTCGTAGTTGAAGCTGTACAAATCGTCTTTGAATAGACGACCCTTAGCTGAATTTCTCTAAAAATTAAAAATGAATTAATAGTCTTATTACGTTATAGCACACTGAAACAAAATATATATTTTTTATTTACTTACTCTATCAATGTTGACATATATCGAGTAGAAATCATCCTTGGCTTAACTATTGATTTTCGGGGGGTGTCAAGGTTGAAGATGATGCTTCCAGCTCTGTAGAATACTGGCGACTAAAAATTGAATGGACTTGTATAGAACATTAAAAAATAAGATAAGGAAAACATATAAATGTTAATTTTTGGCTCGTTTAGCTTTAAGCATCAATTTGTGGGACATGCATTTTTTCTATCTATTAGTATCACATCTTCATAGAAATCATTTTAGCTTAGATGTTTATTTACAAAACTCCTGAATAATTCTAATCTCGTTTTTGGTTAACGCTATACCTACCTCTTTCCTATTAAATGATCTACCACCATGGTTCAGTATAGCATGATTTACGTCTAAATTACAGATAATTCATCCGACCGTCTTCTCTGGAAGTGGACTGTAGGTCCCGCTGCTTAACAATACAACCTTAGGTTGATAACTTGATACATGATATACGTTTTCCTTCGATAACAGCAGGTTTCGAATGCTTATCGCTTGATTTTCTTAAAGCTCACGTCTCCATTTTACAAAACAGAGTTTTCTGAAGCCATGCCAGCTGTATCGGTTAATAAATTATTCATAATATTGTCTTTATGACCAGGATTATGTGTTGTATAAGCTTAAAACTGTATCGGTACCCGCATGTTATAAGGTCCTAGTGTTGTTCTCTTTTGCTTTCGTAACAAAAGCTGTAAATTATAATATCTAAAATATATAAACAGCTCAAAAACTGAAGGTTTGTGTTTGTTTGCGTGTATTAGGATCTTTTTATGTTTAGACGTTTTTCTTATACTTTTAATATATTAAAAACTACGTACGCTATCGATATCGACTTCGACCTGTTCAACTAGTCCAGCTCTAAATTGGGAGAATTGGTACTTATCAACTCTATACCAGAAGTCGGTGTTTTTGTCAAAGGGATCAGTGTCAGAGTAGCTACCAGGGAAGTAGATTTCAACGGATTTTTACACCAGGTTTGGTGACAGCAACGGACATTATATCAGTACCTAAAGCATAATTGATTTAGTATCAGAGTTAATAGTTACTGGAGAGAGAAAAACAATAAAAAGTTATATTACAAAGAAATAAATATGATGGTAATAATATGGTGTAACTAACCAATCATTGTTTGAGTATCCCTGTCATTAACTCCTGGATATTGATAGTAAAGTGGACTAATGATAGGATCTCCTGTAACTGTGTGTTCGTAGAAGAGGGTGTAGATTGTTGGAATATGTCGATAACGTAATCTTAAAGCACTTCTGATTACATCTTGAACTTCTTTGGAAAATAGATATGGCTCACGTCGTTTAAAACTGGAGTGTCCTCTAAAGAAAGGAGTCCAAACTGCTCCCTAAAAAATTTTGTTGTTTTTTTTAAAAGACGTTAAAGGTGCAGCTTCCGATATTTACCTGATACCATCTTTGTAAAAGTTCGTCAGACGGATCACCGACGAAGCCTCCGATATCAGCTCCACAGAATACCATTCCCAGCACATTGGCGTTCATGCATTCCGAAATGGAGTTGGCAAAGTGTTCCCAGGTGGCGCTGTTGTCACCGGTCCACATGGCAGCGTATCTTTGAGATCCCGCGAAGTTGGATCTAGTTAGAACGAAAGGACGCTTTAGATTTTGGTCTCTGTCCATTAAACCTTTATGGGTAGATTTGACCTAAAATTAGGAGTTTAATAAATGTTTTATATGATGCTACTTAGGAGAATTACGTACATGAAGAAGACCGTAGATATTATGAATATCTCCGTGTTCAACACCTCCGTAATGCTGTACTTCCCATGGCATAGTCTTTTCGGTACTATCATCAAACACAGCAGGTTCATTCATATCGTTCCAGATGCCAGCCAACGTTGGAGTACTACCGTTGAATTTTTCAAAAGAAAACCATGTTGAATAATAATCAGCGGCTTCAGGGTTTAAATAGTCGATCCAACTGGATGCTCCAGGCCAACAATCAGCTAGCCACAAACATAAATATAGATATTATGATACACATCTAGTGTAATTTCACATCTTACCAACATATTCACTTCCATTTGCCCATTTGACAAAATATTTGCCTTTAGCTCCGGCGTAGACGTCGTAATCATCGTCGACTTTAATGTGGGGATCGGAAATTGCAACGCAGACCCTTCCAGTAGCAGAAATGTTTTGTTGTAGCTCAACAGGATCAGTGAATGTGGTGTGGTTCCAGTGGAACCATTTGTAGTCGTCTGTATGGTCTCCGTC